CTCATGGAGCCGGGAATGGGCTGAGTGGGTAATTCCCACTGATGGAGTAGGGTGGTACCAGTGGGAGCCCACCAGCCCCTCTGATCCAGCTGGGGGGGGGAGGGTGTCAGGACCCTCTCTGTGACCAGGAGAGCTCCCAACTCACAACATGACCAGCCCTGTGCCTCCTCTTCCTCACACAGGGATGAGGACCATGTGCTGCTGGGGTTGGGCTGTGTCCCCCCAGCATCCCCCCATGGCTCCCCTGCACCCCAAGCTGCTCTGTGCACACTCAGCCCCTGTTTTTACCTCTCACACAGCACCTGGACCCACACACACACTGTCACACACACATCACACCCATCAGGTACATCCCTCTCGGTGCTGACTGTTCACAAGCATCTGGTGCACACCCAGCTGTGCTCCTGCTGCTGGCTCACACCCAGTGCACACTCAACCCTGCTGCACACTCACCCCTGGGGCCATCTCACCCTTGGGGCACACTCACTCCTGGGGCACCCTCACTTTGCTGCTGGTTCACACATGGCACACAGTCCGTCCTGGTGCACACTCCCTCCTGGTGCTGTCTCACCCCTGGTGCACACTCACACCTGGAGCACACTTACTTCTGCTGCTGACTGACACATTGACACAGTCCTGGTGCAGGGGCACACTCCCTCCTGATGCTGTCTCATCCCTGGTGCACACACACCTGGAGCACAATTACTTCTGCTGCTGACTGACACACTTACACAGTCCTGGTGCACATTCCCTCCTGATGCTTTCTCCCTCCTGGTGCACACTCACACCTGGAGCACACTTACTTCTGCTGCTGACTGACACACTTACACAGTCCTGGTGCACATTCCCTCCTGATGCTTTCTCCCTCCTGGTGCACACTCACACCTGGAGCACACTTACTTCTGCTGCTGACTGACACACTTACACAGTCCTGGTGCACATTCCCTCCTGATGCTTTCTCCCTCCTGGTGCACACTCACACCTGGAGCACACTTACTTCTGCTGCTGACTGACACACTTACACACTCAGTCCTGGTGCACACTCTCTCCCAGTGCTGTCTCCCTCCTGGTGCAAACTCCCTCCTGGTGCTGTCTCACCCCTGGTGCACACTCACCTGGAGCACACTTACTTCTGCTGCTGACTGACACACTTACACAGTCCTGGTGCACATTCCCTCCTGATGCTTTCTCCCTCCTGGTGCACACTCACACCTGGAGCACACTTACTTCTGCTGCTGACTGACACATTGACACAGTCCTGGTGCACACTCTCTCCCAGCACTGTCCCCCTCCTGCTGCACACCCACTCACTCCTGGCCTCTCACACCTCGCACGTGCTGCCCACCCATCCCTGGTCCATCCTCACTCTCAGTGCCCATCCCCCATCCCTCGTGGGGAGCCCCTGGGCTGTCCCCCCTCACCTGACGATGCCGTACATCACCAGGATGTTGCCCAGCAGCCCCACCACGCACACCACGGAGTAGAGCGCGGTGATCACGATGGCGATGAGGATGGACGTGGCGTTCTTGGCTCGCTGCGTGCCCGTGTCGTTGAGGCCGTGCGCGGGCAGGGATGCCCAGGCGGTGCCGTTGGCCCAG